TGCCAATGCGTATGATTTTGCGAAGGGAGATAACTATTGACATCTCTTTAAACAAAGATACCACTTGATAAGGTTTCACATTTTTATTGTTCATTAAATTTGCAGTTCATTAAATTTGTTTCAAGGCCAACTCAATTCATCACCCCATGAAATCGACCAAAGCAAGCTTCAATCCATAAGTAAATCAACATGGAAACAAAGGACAAAGGACATATTTAGTAAATAGGAGATGCCTGACTTCATAGGTACTCGTATACTACAATGTATTTACATTTGCATGGCATTGTCGCTATATAGCCTCTTTGAAAGCTGTGTCGTTGATGGGACTTTAATCACCATGCAGCGCGAGACACATTTATTAGCGTATTAATACAACACTGACCGGAACTACAATATCCAATGTAAATAAACATGACGGCTGCTGAAATATCGCTGGGCATTGTGAGACTTGACAATGTCATTGTAAATTTATGTGAAAATATAAAATTAAATTAAAAACACTTTTATTACAACAAAAACAATCCCAAGGTCTGCAATATCGTACATCGATTGAAATCACCAATGCCGGCAATGGTAACAATTTTAACGCTCATGCAATTTAACAAATTAAAAAGTTAATTTGATTACATGTATTTGTTTTTGTTTCATTTCAGTATCTTAGTGTGCCCATTTATATCTAAATTTAAAAGAATGATCGTATGAACGTCAACTCAACTACCAAACTGACTTGCCACTCAAAAACCTTATTTGCCCGACACCTGCTGTCTATCCGACCAAAACATTCAATCCGCCATTGTGTCGGATTAGACAGGTTGCATTATATTTATTTTCTCTTGTTATTACGGGGTTACTTTCTCTCACTACATACGTATTTCGCGTTATATCACGTTAATTAATTTTTCAGTAAAAATTAAAAAAAAAAAATATAAAATGTATTTCAGTAATTTACATTCTCATACGCGATAGCAGAAAGCTTCGCCAGCCTGGATCTCATAGTGAAGCTTAGTACGTGTTGTGTTCAAATCTCATAGAAAACCGACATTATGATGCGATGCATTTTTTATATCCAAAGGTAAACATCTCGATACACATATCTTTTCTTTACCATGACAAAATTGAAGTCCTACGTATCTTACAGATGAAAAAATGTAGTCTAGTTCAATGCTTTTGATGACGATCAAAGAAATTGCGCGACAGCTTGACGGTAAAATCATCATGCCATATAATTGGATTGTATAGCTCCTCTGTAAACTTCAAAGGACAGCTATCGGCCTTGTGATTGGTCAGGTAGTTACAGTATTCTAGAAACCAATTAAAAAGCTTATCGTAAGTCTTCGATTCGGTCACAACATATTCTAATGATTCGGTGGAGAGACATATCTATACAGAAACAGAAAAACCAGTTATAATGCCAGAAGAGGCAGTTCTGGTGTATGCATTTTTATGAAAGCTTATTTTTACCAACAATATAAATGCGTAATCCTTGATGACTCCTGTGAAGATTGTATATTGGTAAAATTTAATAATGACGACGGCGAAGTATTTGTTATTTGTTATATATGTGCATGTTATCTACCCCCTAAAGATTCCTCACGAGCATCTGACGCGAAGACTTTTTTCAGTTACCTGATCGAAAAAGTCTTCATGTACCAAAGCTTGGGATTTACATTATGGGGGACTTTAACGCAATATGTGGTGACCTTACTGAGTATGTGGAAGGTGTCGATGATACAGCAGATCGCGCTGTTATCGACAACGCGATATACGAACACGGTTACAGTGTATCAGCTAATTGATTTCCTCTCTGATTCCAACTTTTGTATTGCTAACGGTAGAACAGGTAACCAAAACTTTACCCAAGTTTCATCAAAACTTTACCCAAGTTTCAACAAAAGGAAAGTCTTTAGTTGATTACTTACTTGTACCTCATGAAGAACTAAACAGTGTTAATGATTTTAATGTTAAACTCGTGTCGAAGATAAGTGAAAATCTGTCGTTAAATCAAATCGACCGTATTCCTGATCATTCCTTATTAGAATTTAATATTAAATTATGTAATGGAGAAAATCAAATTGACGTCACAGAGACTAGGTGTAACGGACCTCAACGGTTCATTACTAAAATTATCCCAGAAATTTTTATGAAAGACGCTAAAGCAATAAGAAATATTTTAACGACTATTGACGAAAAAGAACATGACTTAGAGGTCTCCTCAGATGTTAACCAGGCATACAGTCGCTTTAGAAAGTTAATCGAAGTGAACCCAAATCGAACGTTAAAACTGGTACGGGTGTAACGGGTTGAGTTAATTGTCTCTAGTGGGGACTCGCTTGGCAGAATATTAACAACACACCACCGTTCCTTTTCGTGATCTTCACTTTTATTCCCTTCCAAATTAAAGAGATCCCTTCAAGGGAGAACATGCCTGACGTTACAATTGGCAAATGATATAATCCTAATTGGAGTTACTTCCCTTACACCAAAAACATATAAATGTAACTATAGTACTTATGTAATATTAATTAATCACACAATTGGATGGTTCACAATAATATATGCTATATATAACACGGGGAGTATAAATTCAACACTTCGACGTAAACCGTATTGGAATGATGAGTTACAGAATCTAGTACACTAGCGTAGTGAGAGTGATCAGTTATGGTTAAAGTGTAACGGTCATGCAAGTTTAAAGCTTGCACTAGGGTCTCAATACATAAACAATCGTAAACTGTTTAATAAAATACTCAGACGTGATAAACGGCGATATCAAAAAATCAAACAAGACGAACTGCTCGACATGTGTAATAATTCCCCAAACGATTTCTGGAATAAGATAGGCCAGCTAGGTATGCAAGAAGACAGACTGAATACCATATCAAATACAATGAGAGCTGCAAATGGTAATATTACGAAAAACTCTAGTGAATCTCTAAAGGTATGGAACGACTCCTTTCAGAACCTTCAAAGCTCTGACACGAAAGACGTTACTCTCGGAAAAGAGAAGACGTTAATAAGTTGTTGGGACCCAAACTTGATATGACAGCAGTCTATTGAATTTACCGATATCACATCAAGATGTTGAAGATTCGGTTTATCATGCCAAGTTAAACAAAGTGGCTGGTATTGACAATATACAGAGCTATGTCCTCAGAAACCCAGCTTGTATTGACCTTTTACATACTATAATTGTTAATTATTTTGATAATGGTAGAGTTCCGGACTCCAAGTATTATCAATCCTACTCTGAAAGCAGGAAAGGATCCACTAGATCCAATTAGTTATAGAGGAATTGCATTTATATCAACCCCATGTAAAATGTATGCCGACGTTTTAAATAATCGGTTATCAAAATGGTTGGAAACAAGTGAATTACTAGAAGATGAACAGAACGGTTTTATAGATAACAGAAGTTGCTTAGACCACCAGTATATGTTGTACTCTGTTTTGAATAACACAGAGATAAAGAAACAAATCCACTATTGTATGTTTTGTTGATATGAAGAAAGCATTTGATTGTGTGAACAGAGATCTTGTCTGGGCTAATCTAGAACATTTTGGTATAAATGGATGTTTTTTTAAATGCTATCAAATTATTATATTTTAACTATGAATGTAGAATTAGAGTAAATCATGTGTTAACGCCACCCATGGATGTAATGCCTCGCCAACATTTTTTTCTATGTACATAAAGGATGTAGCAAAATATATGTATGATTTGAAATGCGGTATAGATATTGAATCGTGTATTATCTGCATATTTCTGTATGCTGGTGTTATTACACTCATTGCTCCCGATGCAAATTCTATGCAAAGGATTCTATATGTTTTAAATAAATGGTGTAAAAAGTGGAAACTTTATATATAAAATATTCACATGCCGGTGATATTTCCTATTAAAGAAACATCACGTGAAAAGGCGTTTTTTTTTTTAATGAATGTATGTATTGTATGCACTTCCACTTATGTTACCACGCTATCCCCATATTCATAGTCCGTTCCAAATGTCCAGTGTGACCACTTGAATTGTTCGGGAAAGCCCTGCTAAAAATAGCGCCGATAACGTCACCTGACTAGGCAGTAAACACAAGTGGTGCGAGCGAGATGAAACGGTTTCCAAATGGGCCCCCAGAGAGGGGCCGTCATGCAACTGCAACTTCTTACCGCACTATAAAACCAAGTTATATGATTTCTAAGTCCGTATTCAAACTTATTGAACAGTAATTCTTCATCATTAGAAGTTAACTGCACACTTGCCAGTATTCAGAATTTAAATTTATTTAGCTTTAAACATAAATTTGTTGCCAATAAAATTAAACAAGGGATGGGGCACAAGTTTTAACAATTTATCACAGCCTTCTTCCGTCATACATTTACAATTAAATGTCAACAATGATAATAGGCATACACATAAAGTAGATATATGTAAATAAATATTGAATTTAGTACCGGAATGTGGCCGGTACAGATGATACGGGCTAANGGGGGGAGAGAGAGAGAGAGAGGAGGCCGGGTATTCATATTAAAACTAATTTAAATCTTGCATGTAAAAACAAAAATAATCGTTTAATTGAGCAATATAATTAAATCATACCATTTTATTGAACCCGGTAATATTATAAATTATGTAAATCCACGGACTTAGATAACACGCATCGCGGTGACCCAGAAAATACGCCGTGGACCATCATAACAGTTATCCCTTGGAGGGCCTCATGGCAAAATCAAACTAACCAGTCACTTATCCCTTCCTTTCGCATAAACCACTGTATAATTATAGAAACACAGTAAACTATCTCCAATACATGCCCATTAACATATTAAACTAAGTTCATCTGTGTTCAAACTCAGACAAAGATACTAGCGTGCTTAATAGTTTTAGATATTTATATTCATAATGTCGTGAATTCGGTGTGTGTTATTCACACTCCGTCACAACAAGTAGTTGTAAATGCTCTCAGCTCCTGAAATCAAAGACAAGGTGGAGGAAAATCACTCACGTGTTCAAGTTCAAGATGTATAAGAGACCGCGCCAACGCGTCACAGCGATGTTGTCGTGTAGCTCACGAGATCTCGTGTCGGCGCGGTCCACGGTCCAAGAGAGATAGCTCTCCCGAAATTCACCACACTCCTCCCCGTTTTATGAAGGCCCCTCCTGAGGCCTGGTTATGGCCAGGAAGAAGTCCGTTGATGGGAAACCGCCTAGGTGTTGGCGCTTGAAGTCGGCCAGACGGATGTCGGCCCTCCAGAGGTCAAACCCCCTCTTAAATGAACAGTGTTTTGTGAAAGTCAGATCCCCCTTAAGTGAACAGTATTTTGTGAAGGTCGGAACCCCCATTAAGTAGATAACACATTGTCGCCTTCTAGAATTGAGCGACAAGTTGTTTAGTAACTCCTTAAGTAACAATATGTTAAGTACAGTCCTACCGTACCCATTTGGAGATGAGGTTAGTGGTGGAGGCCAGTGTTTGATTTAGGCCTCAATAACCACAGCTTCTAGTCTTGCTGGGCTTATCTCCCCAAGGAACACCACGGCTATGGATATAATCCACACAATAGGCACAGTCATCCCGTGCCTTGATAATTATGAGAATAGTCTCCCCGTGACAGGGCCCAATATCAGCTATGGGGTATGTGGTAACACTGTTGGTCAATCCGACAGGGTGCTCCTTTGCAAATTGCATTGATGGGCATGCTGCCTGTAGGCGGCCCCATTTAAGCTGTTATCCTACCAATTACTGGTAAAGGGAGCTGTCTTATCACAATAGGGACCCAGGGAGTCAATAAAATGTTCAAGGAAAGAATGCCCTCCCAATTTGTATAAAGATGTAGGATGACTTGGTTTTGGAACATAATAGGGAAGCTTAACCTCCCCTGCCTGTGGATGCAACAGACGAATCTGGGGGCTACTTCAGTGCCCCCCACTTTGAGTTTGGAGTTAAGGAGGAGAGTATCCCACTCCCCTTACTACAACCGTACATCTGACGTGCTGAGAGGTTACTTGCACGGAGTTCCGGAGTAAGCTGGTGGGGAAATAATCCCTCCCCACACTTCAGGTGTGCCACACTACTGGCGACCACAGTTGGCTATGCCAGGAGGTCCCTTACTGGAAAGAGTAGAACCCCCTGGCATTGGCATTGAGTTTGCTCGCCCGGAGGTACAAGTTATCTCCCCTGAGCGAGGCCAACTCCTCCAGTGTGTGCCTTAGGTGCCAGGGGCCGTTAATTCCGCCCCCGGCTTCCGTAGGCACCAGGTAGGGGGCACCCGACTCTAGCAGTAATTTGCTAGGGTCAATGCCCCCCCCCCCCCCCCCAGGGCCAGTCGCGTGGAGGGGGCTCTTAGGGATAGAGCCGTTACCCCGATATGGAGGTTCGGCAGCAGCTGCCGCCAAGCCTCTATATCCTCCACAGACCCAGTGAAACAGTGCCAATGCAACGCCAGCGTAGAGGCCCCTGGCACCCTTTGGAAACATCCGAGGGCCTCTTGCGCTGCCCGGCCACTGCCCCCATCTTTGCAGTTAATAATCACCGGTCGGTCACCACCCTCAACCACAGCCCCTTGTAGGACAGTGGTCAATGTGGTGACCTGATCCCTGGTGACCTGCTGCCGGCATTCTGCAGGTTTTGGGCACTGACCCGCACAGCTACAATTGGAGGTCAGGTCGATGCCTACCTCTCCTATAGCTGTACAGGCCGGGTCCCTCAGCTGCTGCAGGAAAGCAATCAGGTGGCGTCCCCTCCCCACTTTATGAGGGTGCAGGCCAATGGCCACCTTGACCCTAGGGTCACCAGCCACCAGGCCCTGACGCCTAGACCAGCTGTCGGGGTAGGCATAATTGGCCATCCCGCCCAGAAGGACTATGTCCCCACCTTCCTCCTGAGCTACTAAGTCAGCGAAGGAGGTTGCCTTGCCTCTCGCTAACATAGCATCCAGGTGGAAGTGGCAGTCATAGACTGCCACCGGTGGGGGCGCACAGGCGGAGTTGGTCCTCTGGAGGCAGAGTCACTGCCATCGACAGAGGAGCACATAGCCGGCGCAGAACCTACCTTCTCCGATCGGCCGGATGGTCTTGGGGCAGTAACACCGCCCTTCGAGGAACAAGTTGGCCGATCGGAGCCGGTCCTTGGGGCAGCCCCCGAGCCAGGGACCAAAAACCGCCTCGGCTCGAGGTACCCCTGGCGCCGCTCTCTGGGGATAAGCCTCATGATCGCCACTTGCAGCCTCCAGTGAAGAAGGCTGCCAACGGACCGGGACGGACTGAGGGACACCAGCCCATCATCCCCCAGGAAGTCGTTGATGGCCTCTGCCACCAAGGTCACTTTGGGGGAGAAGGGACGAGGAGCATCAATAGCCCGCGCTGGGTAATGTCTACCCTCCACTATAAGGGCAAGAAGACCCAGGACGTCCGGAACCCCGCAGTCATGGGCCTGTGCACAGAGCATGCGCACCAGGCCCCTGATCCATTGGTCCCAGCCATCCTCGGGGCTGCCCTCATGATCAGGGTGTCGCTGTGTCAACTGCTCCCGGTTGTTCTCGCCCACCCCACAAACTAGGAATCCGCCCTCCACGTTCACCAACAAATTGAGGTGAACCGAGAGGTTGTGACGCCTAAGGTTGCGGTCAACATCCTGGCACAGGTCACAGTTCCGGTACCTGACCCCTTGTTCCTAGCCGGCTCGCCGGAGAACGACGATGCCCCTTGCTCGCTTGCCAGCTGAGGGACACGACGCCTCTCGGCGGAGGAGGCTGTGCCTCGAACAGAGAACCGCTCTAAAGGTGCAAACCCTCCCTCGGCCCCAGCAGGAATGTAGGGGATGGGCCCCAGGGACTAGGCCCTAGACCCCCTTTCCCCTGTAAGGGAAGCTAGCCCCCTACCAGCTAACTGGTAGGGAGGCTCTTCCCAAACTTGCCTCCGAGCAGAAAACTGCTCCGGAGGTTGACCGCTTACCTCCGGACCCAGCTGCAGGTTCAGCCTGGGTCCTGAAGGTTGACCGGAGGTGAAGGGAGACGTAGAGGCAGCTGACCGCCTTCGTCTTCCGGACCTCCTCCTTCTGCGCTTCCGGTCCTTTCCCGGTGCCTCCTTCTCCTCCGAATTGAGAGGAAAAGGGGGCCCCTGGAAAGGCACCGGCGCGGATGCCTCAACCGCCTCCTCCACTGGTCTCTGGGGTGCCCTGAAGGCCCCCAACTAAGGGAACCCAATACCAATAGGCACGTGTAACTGTCTCCCCAGTCTACTTATTAAAGAGAAAGGGTACGTTAGATAATTGGAGTCAGTTGTTAGGTAAGTTATAGATTTTAGCGTTTCTAAGTTTATAGTGAGCGGTATTGACAAGGGGAGGGAGTAGAGTGTTGGGATAGCTAGGAGCTCTTATTTAATGAAATTTGAAAAAATAACTGTATTTATCTAGAAGATCTCCGGTGGGCTAGAGAATCCTAGCCGGCCTCATCATATAAAGATTGTCTACTAGTATACGAAGGTAGACCCGTGACAATACGTACTTATCCAATGTATCGGTATTGGTAAGAGAACATCCATCTTAAGTTGCATAGCAATATTATGGAATAGGACGTATAAATGAGCTATATACATTGTATCTTGTTCAAAATATGTCGGTTCACAACAAATTTCAGTTTACGGACGACACATACTTGTTTAACTTCTTTTTACACACATTGTCAGTCATCCCGGCGAACGCCTCAAATGTACCCTTCATGAAGGGTATCTTGACCAAGCTTTTGTATTTGGTTTGGCTCCCGTTGTTTTTTTTTTGTGTCTCGGTTTTCTATGTTATGTCTTTTCATTTACATCTCTTTCCACTTTGTTAATTGACCGGTCGGGATAGTCACAACGACTGAGTGCATCTTTAATGTGCTGCTCTGCCCTTTGTCTACCGTCCTGCTCTGTGATGATGTTGTTGCATCTGTCAAGGAGTGTATGTACGACTCCAACTGTTTAGTGAAGTGGATGGTGCGAATTGAAAACGAAAGATTTATAAGTGCGTGTCGGTTTGCAGTACACTTATAGTTTGATGGTGCCGTTTTCTATGCGGACGATGAGCGTGTCCAAGAACGGTATGGGTGATTAGAAACACTTCGACAGTTACTGACAAGACAAAACAAGACTGACATTTTGAGGGAAAATCGGGAGTGAAATATATCAAATTCCATGCAAAAAAATGTCAGCAGTCATATATAGAAGAAACTGGTAGGTACTTTGGTACACGTTTGAAAAAACAACCAAAAGAACGTAGAGAAAACACACCAAAAACATCCGCCACCAAGTACAATAATTTACAGATCACGCTAACACCGGATCACATCGTCGATTGCCAAAATAGTGGAAAGGGAAACGCCATGCAAAAAAAAGAGACAAATCAAAGAAGCATCAAAAACAGGAAAACTCAAAACATGAACAGAGACGAGGGGGACACCAGCTGAGTTATCTGTATGACCCGATACTGACAAAACTGAGTAGGAAATAGATCTACGCCCTACCTGTAACCTGTTCGGTGAAGTGTGTAAACGCTCTGTATCAATAGGCGAAACGTCCCGGCTCGATTGACATAAAAATATGCAATTTCGTCACATCGTTGTACAGGTAAAAATTACAAATTGCTCACTCAGTCAATCAGTCATAGCTTGGCAAAGGGATCAGTCGGTGTTGAAACGTTGCGACACGTTTAATGCGTATATCGTCTGTGAACAAAGTAAAGGTTTGATATTGAAGGGGTCTTGTTTGTCTCTCTCCCATTACTAGAGCACTAGAGCCTGTTTCCACTGTCTGGGGGAATATCTCCAGTTTCCAAAGTGGAACGAAAAATTGATAACATGATAAGCAACTGTATTAGCAGTATTCTTCAGCATGGTTTGACTAATGGTATATTTTACTTCAACTTTACTAATTTTTAGATTTTTAAGAAAGTCGATAATGTCATTAATATTAAAAGGTATATCTGAGATGCTATTCAGTTCTGGATTCTCTAACAGGTACGCCAATGTCAGTATCGTCAATATTGGATATGAAAGCTGAATGTCGTCATTTATTTCTTTATTTCCAGTCGCACTCCTTAAATGTGGTATAATACTAGATGTGTCAGTTGATTTAATTCACCCGCGGACAGGTTTCCAAACGTTTCTAGGATTTGTATCGCTAGAATTATCAAAAATGTCTTTTATTTCCGCATACAAGGTTCGTTTTGTCTTTTTTTAAAAGATTGTTTACATATATAGTTTCCTAAATTGTTAACACTTTTAGAATTGCTTTTTTTTTTTTTAAGTAATCTTCCTTTTTTGCCTTATTTTACGTCTCATGTCGGGGTTAAATAAAGGTATTATTGTAAATAATTTGAAGGAATACATTCGTCCGCTATTTCTAAATATCAAGATGTAAAGGAGTCACATATATCGGCCAGGGAATGCACACTCAAAAATGGTTCGGTCCAGTCTGTTGCTACAAGTAAATTGTTGAAAAGTTCGTAATCTGAGTCCCTATAACATAAAGTTTTCCTTTTATACGAATAGGACACACATGTATCATGGACATATCCGGAGTACACACTGTGAGAGGAAATCATTGCTTTCCGTGGGCTATCAGCTTCAACTGCAAGTCCTTTCGATGTGGGTCTTTATTACCTACACCATTTGTTTTCCACGGTTTCGGTTGTACATGTACTTTATGTTAAAAAGAAGATATATAAATATTGTCATCACCGTACCGAGAATAATCAATACATCTGAACTACAAATATGTCAGTATAGATATATAAAATAGAAATGACATGAATCTGACAAGTTCAAACTGTATAAATCTGTGCAGTTTATCAGGTACATAATGTATAACCGAAACAGAGTTCCCGGAGAGTTCCTAAAGTAACACGAGTTACTCCCCTTCGTATAATACTTCTGAGTGTGTCAGAATAGTATATGTCCGTGAACACCAGGCACGAGTTATCACCTTCGTATAGTTCTTCTAAACGTGTGTCAGAATAGTATTGTCCTTGGACACCAGAACACGAGTTTGATATCACATTTCGTATGACATTACTCCAGCACATTACAGCGTGGTACATGTAGGTGTGCTGGATCCAACCTCAAATTGTCACGTGCAGCTTCTGACGCATAGAGTACACAAATGTACCAAGTGGGGAGTACGGAGTACACAAATGTACCAAGTGGGGAGTAGGGATTGGAGGGGTTCCCTGAGCCTCCCTCCTCCGTGTTTTTCCTATAAAAAGTGCTTACTTTTAGATGCAATCTAAGGTTTTCCCCCTAGAATGATGTATTTTCCTGAAATCCTTATTTCAGTTTTTCTCTATTTTCGCTATTGAGTTTGAGAATTGCAAAATGCAAAACCTGAGCTCTTCATTGGATATAAGTTTGGGGTACTAGCTGAAAGATTTTTTGTAAGTTGTAACATAACTTGTCTGTAACAATACACGCACAGTGCATGTGTGCGACATATATACACCTGTCACAAACGTGTTTGTGACAGGTGTATTTGTAGCACACATGCACTGTGTTAACGTGTTCCTATTTCCGTACATCAGTAAAACTCTGTACAAATATTTTTTTCCAGCCTATCGGCAACGCCAACTACTTGATCGGTATAAACTGTAGCAACGGTTTCATTTTTGTTAGATGTCTCCACCTATGAAATGAAAAAATTACCAAGATTTGTTTAGTGAATTGACATTAATTCATAGTTTTGAATTTGTTTCCTACATGCGTCATAGTAAACTCGTCAAGCAGACATAATGAAGACTTGGGCGTGATGCCTTGCATCAAATGATACATATACCACGGGGTTTGTTCAGCTGCGTTACCGACCAGATGGCTGTATTTATGTGTGTGCGTATGGAAGCGCGTGCTAGGCGCACGTGTGTAGTGTTTATGGGGTTACATCTATGTACAGTATATAACACTGTGAAATAGAACGACATATATTGGGGGAAGAGGAAAGGAGATAAATAACAGATTGACTAAGTGTGTAAACAAGACAACATGTTAGTGTTGGTGAACACATGAGCTTGATCGATTACATGTGTTTATTCTAAACATTCCGCCCCTCCCCCATCCTCGTCCTTGTTGCCATTTAAACGACCATTTGTTTATCACAAAGATAAATAACTCATAAAATTGAAAGTAAATTGAGTGACACTATTAATAGTCCTACTTTCACTTTTGAGTTCGCCATTTTTGATTGGTAAATGTAATGATATGAAAACCAAATTTACTTGATATCAATTTCGATATGTTAATTTGCAACCAATTAGTTGTTTGAAATTGAAATATAAATGTATCAATGGGTTTTGCTGCATAACTGTTTTATAATAAAAAAAGACATCGAGGCTCAACTGCTCAAAAGTCAATAAAATTCAAAATTCTTCTTCCCTCATATAACGACAGTTTTTTACGACAACCAAACGTTCGGTAAATCGCCCCTCCTCTTTCCACGCAATAGTGTTCTTAATGCTCTTTTAAGGACCCTTTACTTATCACAAAGATAAATGAAATAAAAGATAGTGGCGCTATGTATAATCCCACTTTCACTTTTGAGTTCTCCATTGGTGATTGCTAAAAACCAGCTTCCTGTTTGTATTTTTCCATCGTTATCGCCGAGTAAACAATGATATCACTGTCTGTGGTATATGTCACTGTGCACGTGCTCTGTATTGACAGAGTTACATGTACAATGGTCACCTTTAAACTAAAAAAATACTTAAACAGAAACCCGAGTCTGGGAGACTGTAGCGGGATGTGTAACATGCCTTAAAGGAGGACAAGGAAATCCCAGCCAAGCGTAAACTTTTCGTTGTAAACTACGATATCAAATTCCACATTTTACTTATCTATATCAGGACAACTCTATCAAAGCGACTTTTCCGCATTTTTTTCCAACTTTTAGGAAATCTTTTATGTGTTGCTAAAACATTCAGAACGAGTTTATAAAAAAAATGGATTCTACATGCCATGGATAACCAGTGTTCATGAGAACATTTACTGGATAAATTCATGTCAGAGAAATTCGCATTTTCATGTAAAAAGTGGCTTCAACCTGAACATTTCGGAACCACTTACGTCCCACTATAGATTATATGTAATAGACTTCCATACAAAACAGCTAGAGGTCATTACTTTTTCAGTTCTTCTGAAAGAGATCGAACCCAGGACCTCTGTTTCTCTAGTTCGACGCTCTATCGAACGAGCTTAAGAGAATGTTTCAAAGAGTAACAGAAGTTAGCTACTCTATATTTCTGACCTCAGCTAAGGATCGAATCCAGTACCTTTGTTTCTCTAGTTTGACGCTCTACTTAAAGATAATGTTTCCAAAGGTTACAGAGGTTATTATGCCTGCCCAGTGAGCGCCAATGTAACAGAGGTCAATTAATATTAAACAAAGGTCAGTTATTTGTATTACCTCTGCTAAGGATCGAACCCGGTGCCCCTTTTTCTCCAGTCCGACGCTCTACTGAATTAACTTAAGAAAATGTGTTCGGGGGTACAAGAGAGAAGCTTATGAGAACACGGTTAACCACTTTATGTACTGTACATTTATGTCTGCCCAGTGTGCGCCAAAGTAACGGAGGTCAAGTTATATTAAACAAAGGTCAATATTTGTTATCGTCTCTGCTAAGGCTCGAACCCGGGACCTTTGGTTTACTAGTCTGACGATCTACCAAATGAGTTAAAGAAAAAAACTGTCGCTCAATAACTTAGTGTATGATACGAACGACACATATACCTCAGTATCCGGAGGAAAAACGCCAGCGCCTCAAGGTGTCACAAAGGGCGAGAGCACACATTGACCGGCTCCATTGAATCTTTGTATTTCGCAAACGCAAGTAGAATTCGCGTGAACGCATTTTAATGGAAAAAAATGTGTAATATGTACCAGTCGGTTTAAAATACTGACAATCTATCCAATTCTACAAATGTAAATGGTATATGAATAAATGATTGTGGTAGAAATCAATCTATGAATGAATGATATCATTTACAAAATCAAATTTCATTTTCAGAGATAAATGCTAGTAATTCCACGCTGACCAATTAATACGAATGATATATAATGAGGAATGCTAAAAAGGCAACGATCATAAATTTGCACAAGTGACATAGATATTTAATCGTATTCAATCATATCGCCGGGTATACTTAATTAATAGTTTTTTTATTTTTCCCACTTGTACAAAGTATAGATTGTAGGAATGACTCAAGAATTCCGAGATCACGTAGATCACAAATAGATTAGATGACATATTTATCCCACTCATTTAAATAATGAAAGCACACAATATGACATTACGCCTACGTCTTTTGATATAGACATCTGATGTCATATGGATTTATTGCGCGGTGACACTGTTGATTTCCCCCCAGGGTTCCACAATGTCAACCGGAAGTACTTTACTTCACACACGTAACTAAACATATCTTAGGAGCTTACTTCATTAAGCACCAGGGGAATCGTGTGCGTTACTTTCGTTAAGTTGCGTTTTCCCTTTGCTGCCTTATGCATATATATACCTGTAGATTTCCTGTGTGTGCACAGACCCACTGGTGTCTCTCTATAATACACACAGGGGTAAACACAGTTTACATGGCGCTTACGTCACAGACATGATCAGTGATCGAAAACGGGCGAGATCTTTAAATACGAGAAGTCTTTAATATCGTTAAGTTCTAGATCACATGCCGTCTAAGTATATTATATATCTATTCACGAGATCTGACCTCGAAGTCAAAGTAGGGGTTGACATTTCGAGTATGTGTACGTGGTTAAATACGACGTAGCCTGTTCAATTGTTTCCACTGTGAGCTCTCCGAACCGTATTAAATCTCTAAGTCTTTTTAAAGGTACAAGCGGTGAGGGATTTAAATTGACAAAATTATAAAAAAAATAATTATAAAGAAGTTGGCCTTAGTCCAAATTACCGTAAGTATATACTTGGTATAGGGACGGTTTTGCTCTGTGTGTTCTGTGACAGCGACTATACAGACAGGCCCATACCGGTGTTTCAGCTAGCTACTTACGAACCGTTTCCAACATGGCCGGTCAGGTACCAGCTCCAGATTAGCCCTGGAACGTATTCTTGGATTTGTTACTGGAAAAAGAAAAACATTTCTTTGACGAAAGTTTGAATATCAGTTATTCGATAAGAGTGTTTTGAAGAATACTTTCCCATAAGGAGAGTAATATCTGAGCGTCACTTACTAACGTTTCAGAGCGTCAGTAGTAGACTTAAAGTCTACGAGAGTTTTAATATTTTTGGATTTGTTGGTGGTTCCAAGCCAAACCAGCCAACATGGGAAACGGACTATGTGTGGAGACTGGCAGTTCTATGACAGTGTTCGATTGGTACGTATATGGTCAGCAGTGACTAGACTGGACACTAACAAAACGTGTGTATTTACTAACAAAACCCAAAAACCTAACCCGCTGTTTACCTGCTTGTACAACTATCGTTACAGCACGTACGGGGTCCAATCATGCGAACGTTAAACGCCTTTGTATGCTTCATATATTGTCAATTTCAATACAATTTAAAGTTTAAACTAACAACATTCTAAAGAGTAGGGCGATGGTTATTTTTAACATATAGCTTTAAAACATATAATGTTACAAATAAGGACATTGTTTCTATACTTTTCACAACAATCATTTCTTCAAAAACACAATTTAAACAAACTGCTACCGTATAACTGAACATGTCTACAAAACATATGTGATGTTGTACCTCACATGTATGTTACTAAGTTAATAAAAAATAAAAATCAATTTAGCAGCATACTTATACAGAACATGTACTATTAAGTTTCCTAGTTTGCCGTGAAATTGCGGTACATATAATATTAGTACAATGCCATGTTACAACGCCCGTTTACTTTCTCTTTCGTCGAGTCATGTTAAAAATCCTACACTTGAATCTACAGCTGTCCCCGTTATCAAACCCGTTTACAAAACAACGCCGTATCCAACTGGAGCCACGCGACTCGGGGTATGTTTAGAAATAGCACGCGCATGATATACCGAAGAACGGACACACGACTAGAAAGGAATAGCTACGACATTGTTGTAATACCGGAGACACAGAGCCACTCTCAGACCCTTAGTGCATTCTCAATGCTTCATATTCTCCTACCAAGGTTTATAAACAATTTATAATTCCTACTAGAAAATTATCACTAACATACAAATAGTTTTTTTATTTATCGTCGTGCTACGATCCTTTTGAATGTTATCATGGGTAGGATTTGTTAAAACAAAAAGAAATCATGATAATAAAAGATGGAAATTAAAAGTAGAAGTACACATGAAGCTGCCAATGCTTCGAGTCGTGTGACCCCCTCGTCGAGTCCTGGGGTCTTCCCCAGCACAGACCCCGCCAGATGTCTCTCCTCCGCATGTTTCTGACAATATCATATATCACGGATGAGAATGTAAAAATTCTCTGACACTCATGCACAGGGAGTAGTTATATACTGTATGAACTAATTAGTCCGACACAGCCGATAATGTAATTACCAATAACACACAGAATGCAAGAACTGGAAAAAGACGGGGTTTTACTAAAAATAATGCGTCCATTTCCACCACAACACGCACTCCTGAGATAAGCTCTACACATTTGTGGAGCATTTCTATCAGAACGAACCGTAATGTNCCCCCCCCCCCCCCCCCTCACTTGCATAGCTATAATAATATTTCATAGTCAAAACACTTAAGGTTGTATGTTACCTTGACGTAGTATTGTGTAAGAGTCATCTCCCTTAATTTTAACTTGTTCTAATAACCAATTTGTATTAATCGAAGACAACATTTCATAGTGGTTAACCATATTATATCATATTTGTATAGATACTTTGTTTGAGAACACTTTTTGAAAAGAGATACATTGTACATATCGATGTAATGTAGCATACGTCCTTAAATATCCTTATATGTGAACTATGTTAAAATGTGGCTTGTGTGAGAGTTATCTCCCCTGAACAGACACCCTGTTAACACTTTCTAATAATCTTCAAATGCCATTATAAATAAATTAAATATGTCATTAATAACATCAGCGTGTGGCATTCGTGTGGTAAACAATTCAGTTAAAACCAGCATACAACATAAAATGGATAGGAAAAGCAAGTTTAAAACATAATAATGTAGCATACGCCCTTAACATGAACTCGGGTTGTGAAGCAGTCAGTGTACAGACCACAAATTACAGCTTTATAGCTCCCGCGTTAATATGTTATATGTTTGTCTACAGTAAATATCTAGATTTTGTATGAACATGCCCTGTATCATGAACTTTCCTTCAGAATATTCCTCAGCTTTAGAGAGGCATTACTGAAACTGGAAGGAAAATTTGTTTTGATTAATAACTATAATTATGCTTTCATGTTGAAACAAAGCTTAAATCAAGGAATTCCCTTTGTAACGGAACGCTTCATAAACAAGGGCCGGTAACAAATCTGACATAATTCCTAAACAATGTGTGTCAAATCTTCTCCTAGTGCAGCGAGATGTAACGTTGATATAGATGCTCCCGAAACACACATAGAAGAAACAGAATGTAAGTTCAACATACACGCGCATATGCACATGTGTTATGCATCAGTGTAATTATGAATAGAGGAACTAACAGCAAACACAGGAAACAGAAACATAATTAAACTTCCAAAACCTAACAATGGCGAATATTATCAATAAAATCGACAACGAAACAACTTGCAGGTATACATTCCTATATATTATGGAATTAATTATGTTAGTCTACCGTCCCAAACTTATCTTTTCGCCCTAAAGAACATAGACTCTGCCTAATCAAAACTACACCAGCAATCCCGTTGCTCAGCAACATTATGAAAACAATTCATTACAGGTTGTGTTGGTAAGATGCTAAATTGAAAATTAAGAAACTGTTTTGCTACTGTTTGGTTTAAAACACATTTCCCGTCTCCACAGTAACACTTATTCATTCGCGCAGAAAGTTGAGGTGAGATTCCTTTTGGTTAGGACTACTAACAATTAAGCCGAAGGTGAACCCTCTGTCAGTGTACGAAATGGTCTTTACATTTAGCTATTAACATCTTCCTACATGATAGGAAACACTTTCAGAGTCGAACATTTTGACACATGTTGTATGAAGCACTGACATGTTCTCCTTGAATCCTGAACAACCTCATGCTCTGTGATCTAGTCTCGGGTAAGGAAAGGGACCAATTCATGTTACATATGTTTACATTGTTCACATACAGACATATTACAAAGTATTATCCTAAAACACATCGACCTTAAAACATATAAACATACTTTGGAACTGAGGAAAACATTTACTTAGACGATGCATCATCACAAACAAATTAAGGAACACTATCGTAAGTTGGCCCTATTCGTTGTACGACCTTCGCCTTTGCATAATCAATAATCATTGGGCACTTTCGTCGTATGATATTAGCCTTTTTATAGCCCATACTCATTGGACACTATCGACGTACGACCCTTGTCTTTGTATAGGCCATACTCATTGGACACTATCGACGTACGACCCTTGTCTTTGTATAGTCCATAATCATTGGACACTATCGACGTACGACCCTTGTCTTTGTATAGTCCATAATCATTGGACACTATCGACGTACGACCCTTGTCTTTGTATATGCCATACTCATTGGACACTATCGACGTACGACCCTTGTCTTTGTATAGTCCATAATCATTGGACACTATCGACGTACGACCCTTGTCTTTGTATAGGCCATAATCAGTGGGCACATTCGTCAAATGATCCTAGCAGTTGTATGGCCCATCATCATTTGACCCTATCGTCGTACGACCTTATCTTTTTTATAACCCATAATCAGTATACCTCAAACGTTGCACGCCCTTAGCTTTCATATAGTCCATCATCATCGGACACCGTCTTCACACGATCTTAGGTGTTGCATAGCTCCATCAATAGAACATACAGACACCCTATGACCCTAGCTGATTTGTAGTCCACCACTAGTGGACACTGTCGTATGATGTTCTGCAGTCCTGCCATCAGTAAAATAACCAGCTCCATATGATACCAGCTATTGTAAAACCATACAAATCATCTAAACGAAACAAATTTGCAAACTAACAGCTTACAATTAGAATTTCATACCTACAATGTAATGCACAAACGTCTTAACATAAATTCTATGTTGGCCATTGTTTACGTTCAACTAACCACATGTCCCTGTTATTGTGTTTTCCTTATTTACCAAACAAATGTAACGATGCAGACATATATGTTATAAACAAACACGAACAAAGGCCAATTTCAATATTATGGTAAGGTGATAATAAAAATAAAAGTGATAATAACAGTTGAGACATTGTGCTTTACTTTTGTTACAAAACAATGAAAATATGTTTACCGATACAGATACATGAATCATAAACTAACTCGCACTAACTAAAAAAACAATTTCAGCGACAAAGAAACACCTAGCAAACTGCCATCAACAATGGGTTCACATCTCAGAAGGACAATTTCAAAAATGTCGATAGGTATACCAGTTATCTGTTGTGTTTTCCTCTTGATAAACATAATTTCAAATAAACAGACACAATGGCATTTCTGAAGCGGAAAGTTTATCCTCCCGTGGGCGACATTAACATTTTTTTGTCATGTGAACATCTGCTCGAAACCCTAAACAAATCATGTCATACTTAGGTCCTGTTTGGAATTAATGTTTTTGTTTGTTTCAATGAAACGTGTTTGATAGTATTATACAATGTCGCCTTGATTAATCCGGATTGCGATAATATCACAGATTACGTGTGTCCCAATTCTTGTTTAAGTCAATTACCATTTCCAATTATCTTTTTTTTCAAACTAGTTCTTTGTTATAATTCTTTCAGTTTTGAACAAAAGAGCATACTAACGAGAAATAACAAGGTACCCACCACTAATACATAGACACGTGCATGCTGTTATTGAGTGAATATGATAAACCCCACAGTGTGTTGGAACTGAAATATAAAGGTTGATATAAAACTACCAAAACACAAACACATTAGCTACATTAAAGCAAACTGAAAGAAATTATAAATCCTCGCCAATAATTCGGAAGTGACATCACGTGCACCGGAAATGAAAGTGTATTTTACACCACATGTGGTACCCGCTATGATATTTCACGTCCGACCCAGGAAACTGTCATCTCAAATCGTTCAGTATGATTAACACTGCAACGTGAACGTGTAAACGTTAAGTATAAATTATTTATTACAAAATAAAATGTATGTAGGATTATTTTAAAATCTTATTTCCTCACATCATGATATCGTTGATCCAAGGTTATTGCAGGTTATATTTAAAGAAAACACAC